GAAATTACTAATGCGAACCCGACACATCAAATCGGGGAACACTTATTAGTAATTGGGGGCATCACACGCCCAAATCGATGATTCAAACACGAGACTTTTCGATGCCAAAACGATAATTTCCGGGATAGGAGGAATGATCAAGAATGGACGAATCCTTGCTTCTAGGGAATTACAAGACAAAACCCAATTAAAGAATAAAGGCATTGCATGACAAAAACCCACTAGGATGAAAACCTGTAAAGGGTGTCCTAGGCAAAAATTAGGGTGAAGAAAAAAGAATCAAAATCTCGATAGGATACGTCCTATGCAAAAGTTAGGGACATATAAAAATAAGAAATGTCTATCTAAGTTGGAATCGAAAGGTGGCTCGAGTATTCCCTTCGAAAGCAAGAATTCATAAAGGTTTCACTCCAAATTCAAAACACCGACATTCAAGCAAGTGGAACGGTTTTTTTGAAATTATCAAATCATCCATGATTCTCTAGGGGGCAACCTCCGTCTATATCTCTGTGTATGAATCACGAACTCGAGGCATGCCCAGGCCTTCGAGCTTTGTTAAAGGGGCACGTGTAAATTGGAAGTACTATTTTAAATGCCATAACATTCTTTCATTTCTCTTCTTCCTTTAAATATTCACTCTAGGCCTCATCCATTAACCCTTAATAAACAAGATGTATTTATGACAAAGATGTTACTCAATAATAGCATGGAAAGGATAACAAATGAACAATCAGGAATCCAAACATGACTGGGTTTAATAAAAATAGGGCGTCCCATACAAATGTTGCAAAAATGAAAGCCTGGTAGAAACCCATTAAGAGGGGCTTCGCAAAATTAGGGCAAGATCTGCTAGGGGCTCACAATCGAAAGGGCAACCTAGGCAAAAGTAAGGATGAAAAGAAAAATATCTGCTAGGAAACACATCCAAAGTAACCTAGGCAAAAGTTAAGATGTTAAAGTAGCGACCTGAGTTGAAAATTGAAAGGTGGCTCAAGAGGGATCATTCAATCAGAGCACAAGCCCAAGTCATCACTCCACTTTCCAAAAAGATTAAAATACAATGATAACTTCCTTGTAGTAAATACGTTTTGTTTAATAACCCTAAACACCAAAGCCTACCTTGGCTAACCATTCTTCTAACAACCCTTCTGAAAAATACAAACATCCTCTTTCTTCTTTTCTCTTGACCCTTATGGCATTAAAATGGAACTGAAAAGATACACGGAAAATGCACAGTGAATACTCGCAGAGGGAAGGCCGAGACGTCCCCTAAAGGAGTTTGAAAACGCTTGACTATACATTGACTAGATAATCAAGGAGACACTGAAACCTTGAGTTCAAAAGAACATATCCCGGCGATAATCACAAACGGCATGGATAAAAAGGAATCGTCAACATTAACCTTAACGCGCACAGGTTAATTTCCCGACATTAAAAAAAAAATATTTTGAATTGCATGTTTAGGAGTAAACACATGAGCATAAACTACATCCCATGCATATGAGGTAGGGGCATATGGAAGGGCGTTACACAAAAAAATGGAATAAATAAAAGAATCATTCCTATCTTGCATTTTCATTGCATCCATGCATCCATGCATTCTACTTGCTATGGGTCAGAAGGAGTCATCAGGACAAATCACTCGTAAAAGAAAAATAGCCAAGCATGAGCCAAAGTGGTGTCAAATGGCAACCCCAAGTAATTCTATGTGCCCACTAAGCAAAGACATATCAATAGTGGAATAGAATGGAATCGACCAAACAAGCAAGTCTATAAGCATGAAGAGGCCACCATGCCTTACTTCTTCACCAAATGAAAGATGATCCAAGAGAATGCTAGACTAGGAATGGTTTCCTCACCAAAGCCAGGAGTGGCTTCCGAAATAATACTCATTAATAAAGATTCAGCAAATAACATCATCATAGGATGGGATCCCTCCACCAATGATGACAACACAAGATAAAACATAAAAAGGTAAGCTTCGTAAATGTTGAAAAAGTCAAAGCATTTAGAAAAATAGCAGAAAAAGGAAAGCTTCAAACATGAAAGAGCCGAAACTAAACAAAAATGAAATTTAGAAAAAAAACTCTATCACAAACAGACGCCTGGAGAGGCATCACAATACTCACATGGCAGGGACAACACCAGAATCCCTGTCAACCATCTACTCCTTTGCCCGCCAGCACTTGGGGAGGACGTCTGATGAAGACGAGGATTGCTAGTAGGTGGTTCCCTTGTGCTGGCGGGCAAAGGAGTAGATGGTTGACAGGGATTCTGGTGTTGTCCCTGCCATGTGAGTATTGTGATGCCTCTCCAGGCGTCTGTTTGTGATAGAGTTTTTTTTCTAAATTTCATTTTTGTTTAGTTTCGGCTCTTTCATGTTTGAAGCTTTCCTTTTTCTGCTATTTTTCTAAATGCTTTGACTTTTTCAACATTTACGAAGCTTACCTTTTTATGTTTTATCTTGTGTTGTCATCATTGGTGGAGGGATCCCATCCTATGATGATGTTATTTGCTGAATCTTTATTAATGAGTATTATTTCGGAAGCCACTCCTGGCTTTGGTGAGGAAACCATTCCTAGTCTAGCATTCTCTTGGATCATCTTTCATTTGGTGAAGAAGTAAGGCATGGTGGCCTCTTCATGCTTATAGACTTGCTTGTTTGGTCGATTCCATTCTATTCCACTATTGATATGTCTTTGCTTAGTGGGCACATAGAATTACTTGGGGTTGCCATTTGACACCACTTTGGCTCATGCTTGGCTATTTTTCTTTTACGAGTGATTTGTCCTGATGACTCCTTCTGACCCATAGCAAGTAGAATGCATGGATGCATGGATGCAATGAAAATGCAAGATAGGAATGATTCTTTTATTTATTCCATTTTTTTGTGTAACGCCCTTCCATATGCCCCTACCTCATATGCATGGGATGTAGTTTATGCTCATGTGTTTACTCCTAAACATGCAATTCAAAATATTTTTTTTTTAATGTCGGGAAATTAACCTGTGCGCGTTAAGGTTAATGTTGACGATTCCTTTTTATCCATGCCGTTTGTGATTATCGCCGGGATATGTTCTTTTGAACTCAAGGTTTCAGTGTCTCCTTGATTATCTAGTCAATGTATAGTCAAGCGTTTTCAAACTCCTTTAGGGGACGTCTCGGCCTTCCCTCTGCGAGTATTCACTGTGCATTTTCCGTGTATCTTTTCAGTTCCATTTTAATGCCATAAGGGTCAAGAGAAAAGAAGAAAGAGGATGTTTGTATTTTTCAGAAGGGTTGTTAGAAGAATGGTTAGCCAAGGTAGGCTTTGGTGTTTAGGGTTATTAAACAAAACGTATTTACTACAAGGAAGTTATCATTGTATTTTAATCTTTTTGGAAAGTGGAGTGATGACTTGGGCTTGTGCTCTGATTGAATGATCCCTCTTGAGCCACCTTTCAATTTTCAACTCAGGTCGCTACTTTAACATCTTAACTTTTGCCTAGGTTACTTTGGATGTGTTTCCTAGCAGATATTTTTCTTTTCATCCTTACTTTTGCCTAGGTTGCCCTTTCGATTGTGAGCCCCTAGCAGATCTTGCCCTAATTTTGCGAAGCCCCTCTTAATGGGTTTCTACCAGGCTTTCATTTTTGCAACATTTGTATGGGACGCCCTATTTTTATTAAACCCAGTCATGTTTGGATTCCTGATTGTTCATTTGTTATCCTTTCCATGCTATTATTGAGTAACATCTTTGTCATAAATACATCTTGTTTATTAAGGGTTAATGGATGAGGCCTAGAGTGAATATTTAAAGGAAGAAGAGAAATGAAAGAATGTTATGGCATTTAAAATAGTACTTCCAATTTACACGTGCCCCTTTAACAAAGCTCGAAGGCCTGGGCATGCCTCGAGTTCGTGATTCATACACAGAGATATAGACGGAGGTTGCCCCCTAGAGAATCATGGATGATTTGATAATTTCAAAAAAACCGTTCCACTTGCTTGAATGTCGGTGTTTTGAATTTGGAGTGAAACCTTTATGAATTCTTGCTTTCGAAGGGAATACTCGAGCCACCTTTCGATTCCAACTTAGATAGACATTTCTTATTTTTATATGTCCCTAACTTTTGCATAGGACGTATCCTATCGAGATTTTGATTCTTTTTTCTTCACCCTAATTTTTGCCTAGGACACCCTTTACAGGTTTTCATCCTAGTGGGTTTTTGTCATGCAATGCCTTTATTCTTTAATTGGGTTTTGTCTTGTAATTCCCTAGAAGCAAGGATTCGTCCATTCTTGATCATTCCTCCTATCCCGGAAATTATCGTTTTGGCATCGAAAAGTCTCGTGTTTGAATCATCGATTTGGGCGTGTGATGCCCCCAATTACTAATAAGTGTTCCCCGATTTGATGTGTCGGGTTCGCATTAGTAATTTCCATTATCTGGTTAACATGCACATATTATGTTTCATATCTCGGAATCTCTAGAAATTTAAGATTTTCCAACAATTTAAGAATCAAATCCTGTATGAAAAGATAGTAAATAACTAATTTAATAGAGGGTCTGATAGAGTCAAATATCTAACTTAAGGTTAAATTATTCATTTGATCCCTATAATCGTCCTCATCTTAAGTTTTAGTTCCTATACAAAAAAGGTAAAAAAAAAATGTTTTATTCCCTCCACAGTTTTTTGTACGAGTTTATCATCATTAGAAAGTTTTTGTAGCGGTTTTATACTTCTAGAAACTTTTCTAGTGTCAATGACAAGAATCAAAATTTAATTTTTATGCATGTGCAAGGACTAAAACTTACATTGTCTCAAATAGAGATTAAAACCTAAAATGGAGACAACTAAATATATCAAGTAAATTGTTTAACCTTAATTTAGCCTAAGAAAAATGCAAATGTGAAAAAGAGGTGCAATAAAAGGGGTGAGAAAATATCATGTTTCTAATACTTTGACTGTTCACATTCATGCATGTTCTAATCCAACAACAATTAATTTTGCAGGGGCATGGCTGTAGAAGATACAGACAAGAATAACCCCACTGGGATTCAGGTTCTGTTGCTGGACTATCCCTATGCCACTGATGGACTTGAAATATGGGTTGCCATTAAAGAGTGGGTCAAAGAATTCTGCTCATTCTTCTACAAAGACGATGAGGCCATTGAGGCTGATATTGAACTTCAAGCCTGGTGGTCAGAGATTAGAACACAAGGCCACAGTGACAAACACAATGACACATGGTGGTACCAAATGACAACACTCTCAAACCTTGTGGAGGCATTGACAACCCTCATATGGATTGCTTCTGCCAAGCATGCATCTCTAAACTATGGCCAATATGCATACAATGGTTTCCCTCCAAACCGCCCCACACTATGCAGGAAGTTTGTCCCTCAAGAAGGGACAGTGGAGTTTGGTGAGTTCCTCAAGGACCCAGATAAGTTCTTCCTCAAGATGCTACCTGATAGGTTTGAGATGAGCCTTGCAGTGGCATTGGTGGATGTGCTCTCAAGGCACACTTGTGATGAAGTCTACTTGGGTTGCCAGCAATCACCAGGGTGGATAGACAATGAGGTGATTCAGAATAGGTTTGCTGAGTTCAAACAAGAACTAAAGGAGATTCAAACAAGGATCATGCAAAGGAATAGGGACCCAAAGCTTAAGAATAGACGTGGCCCTGCAAACATTGAGTACACTCTCTTGTACCCTGACACATCTAGTTCTGCTGCCTCAACAACAGGAAGGGGGATAACAAGTAGCATATCTATTTGACTTATTTTTATTGCTTTTTGTGCAACAAAGTGTGCTTTTGTTGATGGATAAAACTTAGATTCATTTGATTAAGAGTTTTAGGTGTGTTATCTAATTAAAATTAGAGTTTCAATCTATAAGTAGAACTAATATCTAATGAAAATCTTTATTACATTAATTACAGTGAAACTCTAATTTTGGTGGAAAATTATAACACTAAAAATAATTCAAAAACTGTAAGTTTTGTTTGTTGATGATAATAGTTCTATACAACAAGAGGAACTAAACGTGAAAGGAATAACAAGCAACAAATTCGAACAAATCTTGTGAATGAGCTTTTATTTTCTGAGGAAATAATCATTTCTTGAAAAAAAAAATTCAAGATTCACACAAATACGTGAAGTATTTAAACTTACTAATTGCATAAGTGCGTGTTTAGTTCTACGTACAGAGCTCTTAAGCTCTTGACTCAGGTAAAAAAACATGAAAATGAGAAGTTAATATTCCTTACTTTTCTATCAAATTGACCTGAATTTGTTAAAAAACGTGGATCAATGACACGAATCCAAACACGCACTAAGAATCATCACAATTTCTTCGGAAAAGCTAATTAAATTTTACTTGGGCATTATGTTTTTGAAGTCTTATTAAGATATTCCATTCTCTCGCAACTCACTTTCATTTGATTTTTTTCTCTCTCTGCATTTTTCATTACCTTACATATAACATCTATTATTTATCCTAAATACCTTTTTTTATAATCTCTCTTCTTCCACCTTAATCCACCCAAAATAGTCGAACATTTATATTTTTTCTATGATTTTAGCATGACAGTTTTTCTTGTCCGCTTAATTGCGTTTTTTTGTCCCTTACACAATCTTGAAAATTTTGTCTCTTGTTATAACTTACACCATTCAAACTACTAAAGTACATAACATTTTTTTTTCTCTTAATTTATAAAATATTGCAAATGTTGCTCCATTTTCTTAAACCGATGTGGCAATTTAAGTTGGTAGGGGCAAAATTGTGACATTTTTTCAAACTGAGAGAAAAAAAAAAATTGCCATAAAATTATTTGAAGAGAAAATTTGCAGATGTGAAGTGATGAAGACGAACCTCTTCTTACGCGCCTTTCAGTGTCAGTTGTTGAATCCGACAAAAACCCGATATGAAGGTCGAAACCTTCAACGACGGCAAAACCGCAACTATAAGTGCAACTCGTTCATGTAAATCTGATTTTTGTACCAATAGTTTTGTCAACGTGGAATTTTTAAAATTTTGGTCCACTATTAATGAAAGGAGAGATACCTTAAAAGTGAAACAATTGTAGAAGTCAGAAAAATGTAAAAATAAATTCTTTAGTTTTTATATTTATTTTTTTAATTATTTTTAATTCTTATAATTTATGTTTGTAATTTTTAATTTTCTTAGTTTATGTCTTTATTTTATTTCTAATATCGTCTTTTATATGTTAACATTACTTATTAATTTATTTTTGTATCATTGTGTCTTATGATTCTCTTTTATACTCTTTCATGTAAGATTTTTATTCGGACATATTTTTATTCTCACAAAATTAAAAATTATTAACATAATGTTAAAATCATAAGTATCAAAAAAAATTAAAAATTAAAAATATAAAGACTAAAAATATTTATATGAAACTATAGTGACTAAAATTATATAAAATTTAACTCAATTCTACAAAATCAGTTTTCTAATCAATGAGTCTTAGATTTTTTTTAATATACATTTTCATGTTCAACACCATTGAACTTGATATATAGACAAATAATGTTGATCCTTTTTAAATGATGTAAGGTAGATGAAACTTTAATTTTTCTTAATATACTCCTCAGCATCTACCATTATTAAGTTTTATATCAATGATAAATAATTTTTTTAGAATAAAGTTGATACCATCTTAAAAGGCAGTTTAGAAGTTTGGAAAATATCTTAGGTGAATGTCGAGATGTCAAAACGAGTCACCCGACCCAACCCGGTCCACCACGGGTTGACCATTTGGTGGGCCAACCCAACCTGCCTCATTTATTAATGAGCTAAAAAAAATTGAACCCGGCCTGACCCATCACGAATTAGTGGGTTAAACGAGTTGACTCACCCAGAGTGGTGCAAGATTGCAAGGTGCCCTAGGGTCTGTCATAATCCGAAAAATTCCAGTCTTACGACCAATGGTTTGAACTGCCATTTTGAAAAATCTCATTAATTAAGGAATGCTTGGATACTAGACTAATCTCCAACCAACAATTTTTTAAAAAGGTTCAAAAGAGTTGCCACCAATGTTTTACTCAAAACATTGGAAAAAGAAAAGATTTTGAAAATCCAATAATGGCCTTAATAACCAAAATTGGGTTCGGGGGTCAGTTACGTGTAGGAAAGATATTAAGCACACCTACAATCCCCTAAATCGGTACCCTATGACGAAGCTAACGTAATAAGAATTAATAGTTTAAATATTAGATCTCCGTTTATTGATGATTATTTACATGCTTGAATCTTAAATTACACGATTTAACCTACGATGGCTACATGATTATTTTTATTTAGAACGACGTTTATTAAAATAAAGGAAGTAAGAGAGGGAGGAGAATATTGACTGAAATACCTCTTGGTCGAGCTTTATTTGAAATCTTCAAATGTGGAGATCTTTAGGTTCTTTTTGGCTACCTTTCACACTACAATGTGACTCACAACTCTAAAAAAATGCAAGAAAAGGGAGAGAGAGAATTTGGGAATTATCTAGGATTCTAGTAGACGAATTTTTTTGGTCCTAGAAACAGCCCCCGACTCTACTATTTATCGACGTCAGATCTGATCAGAACGGTCTGTTCTAGTTTTGAACTGGCCCATTCTGGGACAAATTGTTATGGCCAAAATTTGAATATGGAACGACCCATTCTGAAATCTAAATGGTCCATTCCGGATTTGAATTTTGCTCCTAACAAATCGTGTCGAAACAGCCCGTTCTAGATTGGGAACAGCCCGTTTCGGGCTACTAAATCACCCTTGTTGGGTTTTGGGCCTTTTGATGTCATATCGTGTCATTTTTGCGCTTCCGGGAGCTTCGTTTCTTCATGCTCAACGTCCATTTCTTTGTTTGTGTGCCCCAAACGAAATTAGGTGTCTACAAATGTCCCTTTTTACTTGTCCTTTGGGATAGCTAGGTATTGCTTTTCCAAAGGCAAGTAAAGACATAAACATTTCATCCAAGTCTTTTCTATTTCTTTGTGTTGGTGTTTCCACATCGTTTCCTTCGAATAGGTGGGTTTGCATGTATCCTTGTTATTTAGAGTAGTTGAGTGTTGGGTTGTATACTTCATCGGGTGACAAGGATGGCAAACTGTACCACCTGATCTTCTATCTTCGTGTAGATGCTCCATGCCTTTTCTTCTTGTTGTTTTTCCTATGATGGTGAGGTGAAGATCTGGGTCTTCACTTTCGCTTTGACAATAGCTACCTCCATGTTGTTTCCCTCAGGTAGATGGTGTTTACCTATATCTTTACCCCTTGGAGCAACTGAGTGTTGAGTTGTATGCTCCCTTAAGGGTCAAGGATAGTAAATTGTACCATCTAGGCTTCGGGCTCCATGTGAATGTCCATGTCGCTTCTTTTGTTGCTGGTCTGAGTCTTCCCTCTTGCTTCAACAATGTAGATGTCTTTACATCGTTTCCTTCGGGTAGATGGTGTTTACCTGTGTCCTCGCCCTTTGGAGTAGCTGAGTGTTGGGTTGCGTGCTCCGTTGGGTAATTTTTCAAGTGTCTTTACATCCTATTTTACGTTTCATATAGATAGCATGTCTTTTTTGTAAATAATAAATAAGAATAAAAAGGGAAACATAATATGTGCATGTTAACCAGATAATGGAAATTACTAATGCGAACCCGACACATCAAATCGGGGAACACTTATTAGTAATTGGGGGCATCACACGCCCAAATCGATGATTCAAACACGAGACTTTTCGATGCCAAAACGATAATTTCCGGGATAGGAGGAATGATCAAGAATGGACGAATCCTTGCTTCTAGGGAATTACAAGACAAAACCCAATTAAAGAATAAAGGCATTGCATGACAAAAACCCACTAGGATGAAAACCTGTAAAGGGTGTCCTAGGCAAAAATTAGGGTGAAGAAAAAAGAATCAAAATCTCGATAGGATACGTCCTATGCAAAAGTTAGGGACATATAAAAATAAGAAATGTCTATCTAAGTTGGAATCGAAAGGTGGCTCGAGTATTCCCTTCGAAAGCAAGAATTCATAAAGGTTTCACTCCAAATTCAAAACACCGACATTCAAGCAAGTGGAACGGTTTTTTTGAAATTATCAAATCATCCATGATTCTCTAGGGGGCAACCTCCGTCTATATCTCTGTGTATGAATCACGAACTCGAGGCATGCCCAGGCCTTCGAGCTTTGTTAAAGGGGCACGTGTAAATTGGAAGTACTATTTTAAATGCCATAACATTCTTTCATTTCTCTTCTTCCTTTAAATATTCACTCTAGGCCTCATCCATTAACCCTTAATAAACAAGATGTATTTATGACAAAGATGTTACTCAATAATAGCATGGAAAGGATAACAAATGGCATGAGGGTATTAATCATAGGGAGTGGTTGATGTACGACCGGCCTAAGTTTGGCCTTGGAGCCTGCGAGCCTTGTCGGAAATCACACTCAAGCTGATAATCAGTTATTCTAGCCTGAAATACTACGACAGACCTTAGAGTTTGCCAGGTGATGGCGATAGAGATACTAGGTCCCTATAATGGGGGCACCTTGGGGGCCTTAAAACCAGTGAGATTAGAACCGTCCTATACAATGCACTTTTCTTACAGGGATCACAAACCAAGGATTTAAACGTGACTGTCCGCGAGTGTACATTTGTTTGAGTATATGTGTGTTGCATTTGTTATGTTCTCTTTTTGTTCATTTCAAATAAAGAGGAATTATAGACAAATAAACAGATATTAATAAAAAAAATAACACTCTTCTATATAC